TGGGTCACCATCCCAACCTCCTGCAGGAAGAGTCACTGCTCCCTATGTATGCCCACTTGATACTTGACTGGCTCCTCATTTGTCGCCAATTTAGTCAATTTTGTCTGAGCAATTTATCTTACTGGTTGACCATAGTTCTCTCCCACCACATGCCCATCCTGCGAGTTTGCATGTTTTCTCCACCTTAGACCCACCTCACTTTGTGGTTTTGCTCTATAAAAGTAACTAGGAAAAGACAGTCTGTGCTAAGATTCACTCAGGACTCCTGTCTCTCTCTCTCTCACACAGAAGCTTTTATCTCTCAATAAATATATTTTGCTCTTAACTTCTATTGCTCATAAAATTCACCCTTGGATTTTAGAGAACACGAATTCGTATGGGACATACAGTAGATTTGGAGTTTTGTTCCCCTCCATCAGTATGAGGAAGTGGCGCCCTTTGCAGGTGACAGGGTCTAGTGGTTGATTGATTGTGTCAACTTGAGACAGTTAGAAGCTAACTAAATGGGTTTAGCAATTCTACACCCAAGGATGTAGAAGAAGACTCACCCTAGGGTGAGTTATCACCTCGAGGTATAAAAGGAGAGAAGGAAGGACAAATCTACGCCATTCTTGAGAGAAGCTCCAGTCTTCGCCTTTGGTTTGGACCTCGCCTCCTGGCTTCCAGTACAGACTCTTCAGCTTCCCAGCGTAGACTCTTCAGCTTTTCATCACAGAGCCTTCGGCCTTCTGTCACGGACCCATCAGCCTGCTGGTGTGGACTTGCACAAGACACTAGCGTGAACTCCAGATCTTGGATTGAATGCTTCGGCCTCCAGAGCACAGACACCCTCTGCATGCTTCCTCATCGGACTCTGTGACTGACTATCATAAGCCAATCTTGTTGTTTCTGTATATTCTGGGTTATATCTGTTCTCTCTAGTAAAACCCTGACCAATACACAGGGTCATGAGGTTGAAAGCTTTCATAACACAACCAGTGCTTTTACAAGAAGAGACTCAAAAATTTTTTCAATTAAATGAAATTCTAGATGTTGATTCTTTGAAGCACTTCCCATGCATTTTGGGTTTTGTTCATCAACTTTCTTCCTGGCCCTATGTCTTTGAGGTTTATACATACTTCACCTTCCAGGAGATCCAGTGTTTCTGTTTTAATATTTAGATCTTTGATCCATTTAGTGCATGGTGCTAGACATAGGTCTAGTTTTAGTCTTTGGCATGCAGAGAGTCATTTTTTACATCACTATTTATTAAATAGGCTATCTTTCTTCCAGTGGACATGTTTGGGTCCTTTGTCAAAGATATTAGGTGTCTGAGTTTGTGTGGAGTTGTCTCTGTATCTTCAAATCTGTTCCACAGATCCTTCGATTTGTTTTATTGCCAGTACCATGCTGATTTTATCACAGCAGCTTTATACTATAATTTCAAGTCAGGGATTGTGATGCCCCCTGCCTTGCCTTTGTTGTCCTGGATTGCCTTTGCTATTCTGGGTCTCTTCTGTTTCTGAATGAATCTTAAATATGTTTTCTTTAGATCTGTGAGGGAAGTCAATATTTTCATTGGGACTATGTTACATCTGAATAACACTTTTGGAAATATGGCCATTTTCAAAGTTTTTGCACATCAAAGGAAATGACCAACAGCGATAAAAGAAAACACAACGATTAGGAAAAAATTTTAGTCAACTGTCCCTCACACAAAGAACTTTCATTTAGAATACAGAAAGAATGGGAAAAAGTAGGCCCCCAAAATTCAAAGACTGAATCCAAAAATGGGCAGCTGAGATGAATACACACTTCTCAGATGAGGAAATACAAATGGCAAATAAACACATGAAAAAATGTTCAACATCATTGGTCACTCAATAAATGCAAATTAAAACACCACTGAAGTTCCATCTCACTTCAGAAATAATGGCTACTATCAAGGAATCAATCAATAACAAATGATAGAAGGGCTGCTAGGAGAAAGGAACCCTTCTCCACTGTTGTTGGGAGTGCAAACTGGTGCAACCACTGTGGAAATCAGTGTGGAGATTCTTTTAAAAGCGCTAGGATTGGAGCTCCTATTTAACCCAGCTATTCCCTTTCTGGTTATCTTCCCAGAAGAACTGAAAACATCGTACCACAGTGATATATGTGTGCCCATGTTTATAGCAGCACAATTTGTAATAGCCAGATCTTTAAAACAACCTAAATGTCCATTAACCATGGAATGAATAAAAAAGATGTGGTATCTTTATACATTGGAGTACCACTCAGCTACAAAGAAAGATAAGGCTTTTAGAGGTAAAGGGATGCAACTAGAGACCATACTCGTAATGAAATAAATCAGACTTACAAGTGTGAACATCATATTGTCTTCCTAGCATAAGAAACTGAACGAGAAAGTAAGATCCAAAACCTACAATAGATATTGTGAAAGGTGAAGAGACTGTTCATAAGAAAAGAACAACTGGAATGGGGGAAAGAAGAAAAGAAGGAAGGGAAAACAAAAGAAAAAAAAATATATATATATATACAATAGCTAAAATACTACTCATTTCTTTTAATTCATTGAAAGGAATGGTTTGTGTTTATATTGATTGATCAGTTTTGCATGCCTGCATCTTGTGATCTGAGCAGCTACTTTGAAGATAACAATACACAACTTGTTAACCATTGTTAACTTTCTTTTATCTTAATATGAAATTCTGTATCATCGTTTTTATTGTTTTTTTCCTCCTTAAAAGAACACGAGAAGGAAGAGGAGGAGGAGTAGGAAAAGAAGGAGGAGGAGGAGGAGGAGGAGAGGAAGAGGAGAAGGCTCAAGACTAAACTCCTGCGCGCCCCTGTGAAGATGCAGGTCAGCAACGCCTCAGAGCCCATACAAGGCCTTCAGCAGCTCTCACCGGGGACCTCAGCCACCACAACAGCAAAGACTCAGTGTCTGTCACTGAAGCCACCTGCTCAGTGGTATTCAGTTAGCAGCAGTGGGAAGTGACGAAGGAACTTATCGAAGTCAGAGCAGGACAGCTTCACTAGAGATTCCCAGAGCTCACAGTGGGTCACCCTGGGCATGAGAGAAGCAAACACCACCCTCCCCGGCCCTAGGCAGGGAGGGTGCTCAAATAATACATCCTGGGGTGTAAGTAACAGTATTTCACAAGCATTGTGAGCCGCAGTGCTTATCAAATTCTGAATAACTACCAGACCCCTTGAGATGGCCAAGCAGTAGCGTGTGCAAGGTGTGCTACATCTTGGGGGCGTACACAGCCCAAACAACAGTGGAGAAGGGTTCCTTTCTCCTAGCAGCCCTTCCATCATTTGTTATTGGTTGATTCCTTGATAGTAGCCATTATTTCTGAAGTGAGATGGAACTTCAGTGGTGTTTTAAAAGCCTGAAGCAGGGCCTCAGGCTGCTCTGCTGACCCAGCCAGGCCTGGCCATCACCTCAGCTCTCCATCTGGGTGACTGACGAGGACTGCAGCTCCCCCCAATTCTGTGTGGCATTAACCTGGACGTGTATGATGAACCTACAAATGGCAATGGTCCAGCTCATTCATTCTCTGAACCTGATGCATCTCAGACAGCCCGTGAGATATTAAGGGTGAAAATGACAGAAAAGAGTCACCAGCCCTGTCTGTAACGTAGCCTGGTTAGCAGGACAGCGCACTGGTAACAAGCAATGTCCCTTCTTGACCCCCGACCCCTCTAGTACCTGGTCAGTCTGCTCTTTTCATTGTGTGGCCTCTGCGAAGAGCGGTTCCCAGCTGCTGCTGCATCTCAGTCTCTCCGATGCTCCTCCCCTCCTCCCTGCCCCTCCTACAGGTGGGATGTAAGGGACAACTGTGGCCTCCATCTGCCTACCCAGTGATCACATCTGTCCTCATCTCCCTTGGCACTCGGTAGCACTGTCCAGGGCTGGCCAGACTCTGAACTGGCAGCCTTTGCTGTGTCTCTCACAGATGCAAGGCTGGCTCCTCTTCCTCAGGCAGCACTCAGCCGAAGGGCTGTCTGCTGGCCACAGCAGACCTGAGCAGCCAAACACCGCACCCTCCTCAGCACTGCCTCACCCCTGCGGTACAGCCACCGCTTTACTGCTAATGCATTCTACTTCCTGGCTGGCTTGTCACCTCCCTGCCCCCTTGGAGTACCAGCTCAGGAGAGCAGGCCGGTACCAGGCTGTCCAGCACTGTACACGATGCTTCCAATGGACTCAACACATGGTAAAAGTTAAATAAATCTTAGTGGCTCTATGAATAAACATATACCAACTGATTACTATATCAGTAGAACTTGAGCAGAGTTATCAAGGAAAGATAGGTGATTCACGACTGCATGAAAGGTCACTGTGTGTTTCAGAAACTGCCAGTTGTACAGAAGAGCGAGGGGGAACAGGTCCCGCTGTGAGGCTGGCTGCCTGGGCATGGGAGGTAGAGCAGAGCACAGGCCTGTGGATAGACTGAACCCTGAGCTGGCTGTGTACGCCCCCAAGATGTAGCACATCTTGCACACGCTACTGCTTGGCCATCTCAAGGGGTCTGGTAGTTATTCAGAATTTGATAAGCACTGCGGCTCACAATGCTTGTGAAATACTGTTACTTACACCCCAGGATGTATTATTTGAATGCTTTCATATGCCATTATGTGAATAGTTTGCTATGAGCACTTTTTTCAAAACACCCTGCGATCCAAGAGTATCTCACCAGGCAATCCCCTCTGACGCTGTGTTCCACTGTCTTCAACTATGCAAAACAAGTTAGTCTTATTAAGAAAAGACTTATTTTATGAATAGCAGAAGTGCAACAGTCAAGAAAGGAGGCATTCTTTTCCAATTGAAATCGTGACTAACGCTTCACAAAAACTGAATGAAGATTTCTGAAAATGACAAGAAGAAAGCACGGCGGGTTTTGCCGGCTGGTTGGAGTCAGGCCCAAAGCTCAAGACAGAAAGCCACGGTTAGCGTTTCAACACAAACGGAGAAGTTGGCAGCACACGCTGGGAGGAGGCAGAGGCCCTACCTGTGGCCAGGTACATGATGTGGACCAGCATGTCTCTGCCCTGCACCACGTCCACCACCACGTGGGAGAAGCGGCTGTTGTCCTCCAGGAAGGCGGGCGCCGTGGTGACCGGCTGCACCACCTCATGCATCAGGATGAACTTCTGGGCGTCCTGCAGGTTCCGCTCGGTCAGGTTCACGTACAGGCCCTGGTCCACGGTGCCGCACTGCAAGGGAAGACAAGTGTATTATGGGAAGTGGCCACTGCCACTCTCATCTCCCGTGGCCCCCTAGCTGGAGGGCCACTTGGAAAATGAACAAGCTCCAGTGCACAGCTGATGCTGTGGGAAGGTTTGGTTCTTCACCTCCCTGGAAATCCTCGTCCTTAGCATCCTTCCCATGACAGATGTGAAATCGTCCTGTTTGGGGAATATCTCAGCTCCACCATGAGTGAACTATCAAAAGTTTCCAAATACAAAATGAAAGTCAGGGCTGATTACGGTTTGAGCAGCAGATGTGTGGAAACTCCCTATCACGGTATGGGTGCACGTACCACTGTATCTGTCCACTGAATCGTACAGCCACGTGGAAAATGCTATAGGTTTACTGGTTTTCCCATGAAAGCGGTGGGTACCAGCAAATGTGGATTGCATGTCAGCCACATTTCCATCATTAGCACACAACACACACAATTTAAACTTTTGTTTCACGGGTTAGTCCCTGGTCAGCTGGCTTCAAGGCAGGGCAGCATGGCAGAGGGGCCCAGTGTAGGAGAGTGGCTCGCAGCACAGCGGCCAGGAAGCAGTGAGAGGAAGGAGGACAGATATGTGCTTCCAGGTCCCACCGCGGGGTCCTTCCTTCAAGCCACCCTCTCTCCTGACAGTACACTGAGCTACTGAGCTCGGGAACCCACTGACTGTATGGCACACCATGATTCAATCACTTTCCAGAACTCCAGCCTCTGAGGCAGGAGAGCCTGGAGGGCATTCTAGACCTAACCATAACAGATCCCTTGGCATGAGAATTATGTTTTAATCTGTAAACAATATGACATGATTCACAATACTATAAAAATGCTATATTATGCTCGCTCATTTAATACTTGTGTTCCATGATAAAGGAAATTTTATAGTCTTGGAATCTGAGAGATGATACAGTGAATCTGCAATAGGAAATGGAGATGGGTAGATAAAGAAAGCAAAGAGGGGAGAAAGGAGAAAAGGATGAAAAGGAAGAAAGGAAAAACAAAAGAGAAGGAAGGAAGACACAGCCTGCAGATAAAGGAATTATGAAACTAAATTTGAGACAGGCAGGGAAAACATCATGCTGGAAATTTTTGATAATTAAATTCTGAACCATGTGGGCAGAAGGCTAGCAGGTGTTACTATGATGGTTTCTGGCGAGAACAAGGTAAAAATAGGTGTACAAAAGGAAGCAGCACATTGCTGGAACCACGCACAGAATCAGGAATCAGCAAGGTTTCTCAGCTCTTCTCTAAATGTTAAATCCTGATGCAAACAGTGCCTGGTCCTCAGCAGAACTTCACCTAAGTAAGTTTGATAGAAATGAATTGGGGACCCATGCCACCCACAAATACCATTTAGAACATGTCATTTCTAATACCGGGTTTTATTAGAGGTTAGAGGCACAACAGTGTATGGTGGAAATTGCTTTTTTGAGGTAGATGATATTTTTGTAGCATTTGATAAAATGTCCTATAAGCCATAAGCCAATAGGCCAATTGCAGAATTGGAGAAACTTAAAGCTAAATGGATTCCATTCACTTAGTTCAATGCTCAATTTAGTATCATCTTCTTGGACGGGGACTTGGGCACCGCATGTAGGGACTCCGGGGGTCAGGTGAGGGCTCAGGGCTATAAACCATGGGCTCCATAGCTTCCGGTGCTTCCCAACTCCTGCCATATGGATCAGCAAAAGTCTCATCTCTCAAGCAACCAGGAAAATCCTGACTGTGCACCCCAGGGCTGATGTGAGAGCAACCGAGATCCTCAGGGGAAAGCATGTTTAAAGTCCAATACGTGCCCAACAGGACAGTGTGTTTGGCACCTGGAAGCCATTCGGCCAGTGGCAAATAATAAGTGCTTGCATCCTGAAGCAGCACAGTGATCCATGGTCCATGGAGCTGTGGTGACCAGAGGAAAATGAGCAAATAAATAAAGCGACAGAGAATCAACTGCGAATACCACATAAGCAGCTCCATTTGTGAGATGGGGAAAGGCTGCTCCGGAAGATTTCATATCACTGCAGTACTTAATAATAACACCCGGAACACCTGCCTGCCAGCAGCTGTTTTAACAAATGACAAATAGCTCCCCTGGGTGTGGTCCTCATGCAAAGGAGCTGTGGTTCTGAAGCTGTCCTTGTTTTTGTGGTGTCCCTTCCCCCAGACTGATGAGACCACTGGGGAGAGGTGGCAGCTAGCTGTCATCAAACTGGGTGAGGTTTACATACAGACATTGTTCTCTATGCACGCTGCTAAAAGCAAACAAACTAACTAACAAAAAACCCAACTAAAACCCAGGAGCGTCGTAAGTGCGATGCTTGCCCTCATGTGGTGTGCGGCCCACCGTGGCCGCCACAAGGAAGGAGGTTGGTAATTCTGTACACTCTGAAAGAACGCAATGAACAATCAAATTTTGCCTACTAACTTGATTAAAAGACAAAGGAACATCCAGCCTTGTGCCTGCACAGCAGCGCTGGGTGGCCAAGCACACAGTCACCCCACCTGGTCTTAACAGTGCACCATCTCCAGCTCCCTTGGGAGCATCTGGCTACTGACACCAGCTGGGTAGCCAGGGCCGCTAAGGGTGCAGCCAGGCTCTGCCTGCACAGGTTTAACTGGCCACTTTCAGGCATCAGCTTGGAAGACTGGAGCTGCCGCTTTGGGGGGGGAGGCATCTTCTGAATCATGACTGATGAAGTAACACCTAGCTCTGGTTGTTACTGCTTTCAGTCAAAGCTTCTCTGTTAAACTCTGCAATATTATGTACTTTCTATTAACCCTTCTGCTTTCTGAATCTGTTTGCTAAATAATGAGCCATCTTTGCTACATGAATGCTGTGTAAAACTTCAGTATCAGCAGGAAAGATAAGAACAAAAGCATCTAACATTTCTCACTGTTGGTTACTGCAAACATCAGGCTTTCAGATCTGCCCCTGGAGGATCCATAGCACAAAGTAAATTTCTGCTCTATGCCAGCCTTGAAAGTTCATAAATGTCAGGCTGGTGCAACAATCAAACATGGTCAATAAAAAGAAAACACAGGTCTGTACTAGAATTTGCACAAAGAATCATCATAGTCTGTAACTTTAGTTCACTGCGAATTTGGGACTTTAACCAGCTGAAGGAGGTAAGGTGAGCTAAGCACAGCTCTTTCTTTTCGGGATGTTTCATCCATTATGCAGTGTACACCTGCTCCCGTCTCAGCAGTGTGAGCTAGCCCTTCAGTGTGACACTGGCGTTGTAAAACCAGAGACTTAAGAAATGAGAGGATTTGCTGTGTGCTATGAATGTATCCAAGTGCACGGGATAAAAATTACTCTGTGCCTGGGGGGGAAAGAATTATAGTCTGTTAAGTCACTCTTTCATGGTGAAGACTTTTGCAATAGAAATACTATATAATGAATGTACACTATAAATATAATTAGCATTTTTGTAGTTTTTCGACCTTCAAATTTTTCAAAAGGACTTTCCTAAAAGTAATGATTTATTTTCTCCTCCATATATGTTTAATACCTAACATGTATGTACACAAGTATATGCCATGGGAAGACACCAACCAGGTGGTCGCTTCTAGTCACCTATATCAAGTATGCAGTAAATAACACACACTGATTGATATTTCCTAAATTTATCCCTAAAATATTCCTATGCTTTTGTATTTCACCTTCTACATTTTCTTGATGAGACTATAAAGTGATTGATAACTTATCCCCAGAAAGCAGTGGGACAGACGACATGTAAATTAGTCATCTTCTCAATCCCATATGTTTGCAAAATGTAATGATAAGAAGAAACCAAAAGCTGAAAATGATTATAATCAAACAGTGCTTTTTAAACTCCAAGTACAATGTTAAGTGATTAAAAACTTTTAGCCTTCTGGTTTACTCAAAAACTAAAGGTTTTAGGCTTTGGATGACAGACCAGCCAGAGTTTGAAGGACCCCACCCTTAGCGGTGATGGTTGGAATAGGCTGGGATCTGAGGGCAGGACATGGGATACCAGTTGGACCATTCATCTGCTGTGATCCTGGCCACATCTCTGCCTGTGGCTCAGTGCCACTCCCTGTAGGTAATGTAGTCTTCCTCATCACGGTGCTGCAGCCGGCGTGTGAAAGGACACGCGTGAGACATCCAGCACAGCGTTTGGATCTTGGGAGTGCAAAACTGTATGCCCCAAATGATGACAGTCCTGGGACAGCTGACACACAGGGGAGCCTGTGCCTCAGCCTGACTAGATGTGGAGACAGAGCCTCCAAGACAGTAACTAGTGTTCAATGAGATGGCAAGGTGGTGCTGTGACTCAGTGGGCCTGGTGAGCTTAGAAAAGAGGACGAGGCAGGAGAGACATCTCTGCCTCCACCAAAGGACACAATAGGAAGCTGGTCATCTGCGAGCCAGCAAGACCAGCCTTGCCAGAAAGCGACCCTGCTTTCAGCTTGATCTGAAGCTTTGAACCTCCAGAACTGTGAGAAAATCAACAGGTCTTTCTTTTTATAACCTTATGATCTATGCTAATTTGTCACAGCAGCCCAAGCAGACTAATCCATCTGCTGACTGACCAAAGGCTGGAAATCGCTTCTTCTCCTTGAGTTTCAGCTAATTCTGAACATTGGGAGGTTGGGTAACTTACAAAAGCCTGGATGGTGTGGCCATCCAGGAATTTTGTGACGGAAGAAGAGTGACCTTCGGCTCTGCTGCTTTTCCCCTGGTTGTTCCGACCCCATTCCAGCCCCCACCGGGGATCTTGCCTATTTGCCAATTAGAGCTCTAATCCTGTTTGTGCCTCTCCACTACTCTGTGGCCTGGGCCCTGTTCATTACAGAGTCATTCATTAGGGACCAGAGGTCTGGGGACACCCAGTCAACATCATTAGTCCTAATTGAGCGTGGATTCCTAATCCACTGCAGAAGGCTGGCCTTTTTCAGCTTGGCGTCAGGCGTTGCAACCCACAAAAGGGCCTTTTGTGGTCCAGGCGCCAGGGTTGACAAAAAGCTCTGTCCTGTCTATTGACACAGGCCAAGCCGAGCACAGCACTGTCCCCGAGGGACAGGGAGAGCGTGGCTGCTCTGAGCATGCACCCAGCACAGCTACCCAGGCTTCTGCGCTTTGCATGGGTGCCACCCCCCTGAACTTGCCTGGAAGTTGGGGTTGGGGTTGGGATAAGGCAGCCAGGCCGAGCGGGAGTTCTCCTGGAACTTGAAGGGCCCGTTGAAGGCCTGCGAGATGGCGCTCAGGTTGAAGATACACACAGCCGAGGCGGCGATGCTGTTCCTGGAGAGCGGGAAGAGAAGAAGAGAAGGTAAATGATCAGAGAGCCCAGCAGGGCCAACCAGCCACCAGTGCCAGGGCAGCAGGGGGACTCAGGCGCAGCTCCTAGACACCTGGAGACTGCGGCCTGTCACATCCCATGGGGGTGACACAGGAATGGAGCATGGGCTCACCTGTGAATTCTCTATACAGAGATAAACATTTAGGTAGTGAAACAAACAAGTGTGGGTGGCAATCAGGACCCTCGCAATGCTCCTGGGGGAATGGTTCACCCAGACAATGGAGGACAGCAAGGGACGCCTCTTAGATTCTGGGAAAAGGACTTCGTCCCCAATGGACAGAGCCCTCGTCTGACCCCTCTTACATAGCCCACTCTGCACCCAAATCTGGTTACTCAGCTGGAAGTGATAAATCTCCAGATATTTATGTTACATCATCATCCTTCAAAAAATAACCAACTTAGAATATTTTGCAAAGAATGCCTGTTGCACCCTTCGTGTTTTTTTTTTTTTTCTTTTAAAGATTTTAAATTTGAGGGGATCAAAATACTGACAGGAAATCTTGAAGCCTTTATTTAGAATTCAAGCTTTGCAGTCGAAGCTGTGAATGAAGCTCTGGAAGGTCAGAACCCTTCGACTAAGCAAGGAAACAGCGAAATATTTTGGGTTAATTTTGCATTTTAACTTCAGCTGTGGTTCTAAAGGGAAAATGGGGGAAATAGAATATAAATGTATTTTCCATATTAATGCTCTGAGACAATAAATGTCTCCTCATATTGACTGTTTTTCTCACACCGAAGGAAAACCACGAGGCTCTGGGGCTGTAATAGCTCACTGTGTTTGTTGGGTAGTCAATAAGTACCAGACATTGTCCCAGGGGCTTCCATAATTCCAGGCCACGTAGCCCCCATAAGGTAAGAGACCCTCACAGATTCAGAAATGACATGGGCTCCGTGAGGACGAGTCTCTGGACCCAGTTTGGGGAGCAGCACCTGCCTCCCAAAGAGAGCTCCTAAGACCATGTGCTTCATGCTTTGCGAGAGGTGAGAAGCAGACTATTGAAAATCTCCAGCAAAGTGCACAGATGATACGAGTGGTTTCCGTGGGGAGCCCTGCACCAGGAGTAAGTTCAGGATGGAGGCTGTGTGCTCCTGGCACCTAGTGCTGGGCAGTACGCAGAGAAGATGCTACACATCAGAGTGTTCATGTTTCTACTCTGACTCCTCATTAGCCTTAGAGCACAAGAACGTGGTAAGTCCAAGCTCAGCAGCAAAGAAGAAAGAGAGTCTCAACAGGTGACTGCTCTTTGGAAGGACAGGAAGTCAACTATGCTGGATCAAGAATGGCCAGGCACAGGCTGGGTCCCACCCGGGAGCTGGCCTCGGGCCACGCTCGTGACAAGCCTGAGGAGGGGGTGCTCCTGCTGACAGCGCTGAGAGACACTAATCTCTCTTCCAGTTCTCAGATTCCAAGAAGAGCCTGGCGTTCCTGATGGGTAAGCAGCAGCCCAGAGGGACTGGGCCCTGGCCACTGTCCACGGAGAGTTCAGCTCATGCCCTGGATCTTGTGCTGCTGCCTGGTGACAAGGCCCTAGCCTCTGGCTGTGAGAGCCACATTTCTGATAGCTCCATTCGCCAGCTCTGGGCAGGGCTGATTTGGGTGTTGGGGTCAGCCATCAGCTCCCCTGGATGTCCTAGTGGTTGCAGGCCAAGCACACCTCACTGGGAGTGGGGAAAACTTAACTTCTTTATTGGTGTGTGCTTTTGATACATGATTATTTTCACTTTGGGGAATTTAGATTGATCAATTGATTGACTGACAGATAGATGATAATCTTGATTATTTCTAATGCCTTCTCCTCTCCCACAGATCCTCTTCCCCATCTCCAAAAAGTCTACCTCACCTTTCCTACAAGCTATCCTTTATCTTATGCTTTAGTTTATTTATGTTTTGTGTTTCTTATATAAAAGAATCTATGCAATGTTTATCTTTTTCTATCCCACTTATTTTACTAATATTATTGTCTCAAGCCCCATCCATTTTCCTACAAATGCCTGCAATTCATCCTTTATGGCTGAATAAGCATTCCACATTTTCTTTACCCAGGCCGCCATTGCTGTGTACCTCGGAGGAGAGGTGGACAGGTCAGCCATCTGCTCTGAAAACTCAGTGATTATCTGCACTCAGCAGAGAAACAGCAGAGCTGGCCACACATTCCCGGCATAGAAGCTGTGTGCTGGAAGCTTCTGAGGGTTACGGATGGACTACACAATCAAACCATTGGTGATAGTTTGAAATACTTAACAAGACTCTTAGAATGGGCTATCCAGCATCTCAGAAGAGCTCAGACTGGATAGTTACATAACTTTTGAGATACGGTTTTCGTTGTTCTTTTTGTCCCAAGCAGGAGACCGAGCAGCCACACAAGCCAAGCTCCCATGGTGTATAAAACTGACCTCAGCTGAACAGCTGCACATTTATCTTGGGCAGGCTGCACTATTTCTTAAAGAAGGTTTTGGAAAGTGAGTCAGCTTCAGAAACCAAAAATTGAAACTTGTCAAGGAAGGAATATAACCCCTGGGGTGAAGAAAGGCAGATTTATAAGAAGAAGGAGAGCTACAGAGGAAGGCGGTGGGCATGGTGACATGCTGCCTGTGTTTCTAATGTCCCCTCAGCAAGCAGACCCCAGAGTGTCCCTATCCAGTGAACATTAACTCTAGGCACTGGAAAGAGCAAGCTGACAGCTAACAAGGAAGTAAGTGGCAGGAAAAGTAAGTGACTGTGGAAATGAGATTCATGGGCAGGCTTGATGCCAAAGAGATTAAAACACACACACACACACACACACACACACACACACACACACACGTAAGGAGGAGCAGAGCAGCATCATAGGGCAAGCGCCTGTCCAGACCACCCGGGATCAAGCATCATCCCGGATTCCCAGCAGTCCTCAGTGCTGAAGCCAGGGCAATCCCTAGGGGCACTGTCACCCAGCACAAGTATCAGCACTTTGCACATAGACAGTTTCAGATCCTCTGCCTTAAACACAAATGTTTGGCTTGTGTCATAATTGCTAGGTCTCCAGATTAGAGATTCCAAGGTAAAGACCCGAAATGGTGGTGACCTCTGCCAATCTGAAAGGGACTATATATAGCTCAGGGTCTGCACTGCTATTTCCTGGGGAGGGGACAGTGCTCTTGAGTCCATGCCCAGCACACCGGCTAAGGAGAGCACATGACTGCGGGATTATGTGTGACTAGCTAATAGAGAGAGTGAATGACAGCCCTGGAAGCTTCTCAGGCTTCAGCCAGCCCAGATACTACCCCTCTGATCTTAAGAGTATCTTTAAATGAGAAAAAAAAAAAATGATTTCTGATCAACTGTTCAAAGGATAGCCACGAGGAAATGACAATGTGCATCTCACGGGTATAAAAGCAAGCAAGAATTATGTTATCTTGACTATCAGACTTTCCAGAAGACACTGCTTTCATTATGCACAAATGCATGACTTGGACACAGGTAAACATACATCTACATGCACCAGCAGTTCAGAAAGTGTGTGGAACACCCTCAAAAATCAGAAAGTAGTGATTTATAGCAGAATAATTTGTTATTATAGTTACCTGAAAGCAAATTAAACGTTTTTAGATTAATTTGATTGTCCTAATGTCAGTATCAGAAAGCACATATGTTGCCTATTACTTCATTCATAGTGAAATATTCTCTTTTTTTGCTATTTCTTGACTGTAAGCTCAGTGACATAAGAAAGATTTCCTTTAAGGCAACTTAAAACCTTCAGAGGTCAAAGAACAACAAGGCCTATGGGAAGTGAGGGAAAGAGAAGAGAAAGACGTTATTTCAGGCCACATACACGTTGGTGGTGAAGATGCCGTAGATCAGGTCCAGCTCGGGCAGGAAGAACGTGCTCTGCAGCTCGTGGTAGTAGAAGGGGACCTCCCCGGGCCGGGAGCAGTTCAGACGCGCCTTCATGAAGGTGGTCCAGGTGTCCTCCAGGAGGAAGCGTCCCCCAATGTCGTTCTTGCAGACCCGAGCAGCCCTGGAGAACACTGTCTTCCCGCAGTCATGCTCCACAGCATTTTCTCGGAAGAAGAAGTAGGTGAAGTTCCCGATGTCATAGGAGGACACGAAATTGGGTTCTGCAAACAGGGGACGAGAAAAATCTCAGCAACCACATACTCTTATTTTTCCATATCACTTTCTTGGCCTTTCTTCCAGAAGACAGGGTTTGGTTTAAACAATACCTGGTTCCTACAGAATAAATGAAGACCCAGAGTGCTGGTGACTATCCACATTGGGAGCCTCGGGTCACAGACACATTCTGAGAAATGAAAAATCTACAGTGAGATTTCACACTCAGCCACACTGGCACTAAAGCTAACATGACACACCACCAAATGTGAGCAGAACAAAGTAGGGTAATAGCCCTTACTTCATTTGCAAACTCTTATACCATATGCAGAAATAGGACAAAATAAGATTAAAAATGAAATATGATTTAAAAATAGAGTCTACAGTCACATTTTTGCATAACACTATGAAACTCTCTGACTTGCATATATGTACATAATGCATACAACTATGATATAACTCATATGCTTTTAAGAATTTTAAAAATGTTTAAAACTGAATCAAAAACTCAAATTGAAAAGGTAATATCTCCAAATTAGCTTTCACAATTTCTGTTACTATGGTGATGGTGTAACTGTGAAAATCAAGCTTTATTCTCTTATTTCTGGGTCACAAGGGGAGCCCATTGAGATGAGGGAAGAATGTTGAGATGGATCCATTATCTGGATACATTTTGGTTTCAAAATTACTTTAAATATAGGATTCATAAATGTGGAATTTATGGGAAAGCCTTGGTTTAACAACCAAGCTCATTAGGAAATAGAAAACAGCGACAGAATTTTACATATAGGACTTGTTACCTTTTCAACTTGCTTTTTGGGTTCTTTGGTAATAGAACATATACCCTACCAGACTCTTGAGATAGCCTTATTTATTTTTAAAAATCCCCAATAAACACGTTTCTCACAAAGTGTTACATTCGATCCGCAAGTGTCTGAATTCATGATGCCATTAGGATAATAATGGCGAAGACCACTGGTTTCCAAATTAATGGAAAAATGGACAACAGCTCTACCTGCAAGGTCAGATTTTCAATGACAAACACATTCTTAGAGCACTGCTGTTTTAACCTGAGCAGTTTTAAAAAAAATGAACAACTTTTCAAAAGTTCCATTAAAATGGACAGGGTGACCATCAGCAGGATTTATTATTACTGTGGGCCTCAGAATTCTGGAGAGACACTTGAGGCGCAATGAGTGGCATATCAGAAAAGCATGTTTTAAGAATGTAAAAAAAGTCCTGAGAAAATCTTGAATTCTTGTTCGCCATGTGTCTCCCAGAGAATTATCTACAGAAGCAACTCTTAAAAGCAAAGACGTGAAACATCTCCAAAACTACATTTAGTGCCTAAAAAACAGTCACTTGAATGTCCATTTCTAAAGAGAAGGCAAAACTATTTCACAGGAGACTCTGTACCCAGGCTCACATATGTAAATTACAGCTATATCATTATACTAAAACCAAACCAAAAATCCTCCTCACCGTAAACCATAGCAGCGAACTGTCTAAATGGAGAGAATACCAAAAACACAGGGGCAGGCTGTGTCCAGCCAGAACCAGAGTTGCACACATTCACAAGGCAGGAGGCACAGCCCATTGAGCTATCCCAGGTACACCCACCAGTGTTTGCTCTGCAAGACATCTAGGCATGAAAGGCACATGGTAAACAGCTCTGGTACCTTCAAGAAGTCTCAAGCAAGAAAACAACCACACACACACACACACACACACACACACACACACACACACACACGAGCAAACACTCACACCCACACACAAAGACTTGCCATGGCTTCTTCCAGTCAGATTTATAACAAAACAGCAAAACAGCTAATACTTATAGATTAATGATCCTATGGTGTCAAGCTGTAATTGGTGCATAATATCCACACCCCCCACTAAATTCATAAAAGCTTGAGAGGTAGTGTGGTGTACTCCTTAGCTATGCGTCTCTGGGAACAAACATCCAACATTTGCAAAATAAAGGAGGAGGAGTATGTATGTCGATGCTTTGAGAGGTTTTAGTCCATCCTCTGCTGGCTCCAAAACAGGAGCACCATGGTAGAAAGGTCTAGAGGAGCAAGCTGGTAACATCATGGAGCCCCAGAAGCAGAGGACATGGGAAGAGAGTCCTCTGCAGACACCTCTGCCACCTGTGTCTCACCTTCTCCAACTGGGCCTCACCCCCAACAGCCCATTCAGCTATTAACACAGTAGATTCATCCACTGATGTGTACAAAGTCTCATGGTCTAACTGCTCTGCAGGAGTCTCTTAATCTGGTCTAACTGAAAAAGAAAGATTAACCTGTGCAGGTAGTAAGATTCTTCCCATTTCACAGATGAGGACCCCAAAGCTGACAGACTTGCTAACTTGCTCCAGTTCACATGGCTACTAACCAGAGTGGAGTGAGGTAAAGAAAGCCCCAAATCCAGAAACTTGGACCTCAGAGCCATGAGCTTACCACCACACCACAGCGAACACGCAATAGTTTCCAGGGGACCATCTAGTATACTGACTGTACTTACAGGTGGGATCGGATTTCTAGACAGTTCCTTGGGTCAGAGTCATAATACTCCACTGGGAACAGTAAACAGGTTTACCTGGGCAGAAGCTGAGGAGAACTAGCTAGAGGGCAACATAAATGTGCAGACAAAACTTTAATCACAAATAGTGGACACACTGCTTCACAAGAGTAGGAAGAAGAGGCCAGGAATGCAAGGACTTATTAAACTAGAGCGGAGCTGGAAGATGTATGACCAGCCCCAGAGCTGGTATTTCAAACACCATCAAGACAGCCTCAGTGCGCCAAGTGACCACTGAGCAGTCTATTCGATGTCCGTTATCCACTGCTCTGAAATGCACCCTAAGCCGATTCCTAACTCGGGGAACACTGAGGATGGAAGCAGACTGTTCTATAGCTGCCTCATTCCACAGAGAACCTCCCTCATCTCTCCAAACCTTGCAAAGCAATAGTGTAAGGTTATCAGTGTGCATTCAGATAGAAACGCTCAAATGCATTTTGTTCTTGCATGAGAAAAAATCCCTTGAATGTGTAGGGTATATTGTTCTCTGATTCACTACACACCATGAGTCATGTGGTCAGGGAGTTAAAGTAGATTTGGAAAGCCATCCTGCTGTCCTACACTGACCCTTCCAGATGTGGATGGGTCCCTGGCTGTGTGATCTGCTGTTAAGGGAAAAAGTTCCATTTCTTGGAAAGCAGAGCCTGTTGAAATTCAGCCAGTATCCTGTTTCTTTTCCAGAAACAGTAAAAACGTAGGAATAATTGTTAAACAGCCAATTATCTTTTGCATTTATAGATATGAAGAAGAAGGGGAAATCTGAATGACACCAGGCAGCATCCTGAGACTCGTGTGGCTTTCCTTCCGCTACTTAAGTTCTGTCTTTTTTAAAAACGAAATTTACTCAAACTAGGATTTGTCACTTGTAAGTGAACTGAATAAGTCATAAGTTAGTTATTGCCATCTTATTTGTAGCGGACACAAATGCATGACAGAGACTCAAAAGATCTTTTTATGTATCATCATCATCACAGCTACAAATGAGTAGAGCGTGTGCTGCAGACTAATTCACAATAAAAACAGGCATGTCCACTTATAATAAATGCATGCAATGACAGCTGTATTTTCTCATATTTGCAAATCATATTGAGTTACAGATTGCAGAGTGGCCTACAAAACGTGTCAGATTATTAAGGACCATATTGTAACAATTTTTAATTTACATCTTACTTACACAATAGACCACGCTGATGGGAGTACAGGGAAGCAGCGTCATAAATAAACAGGAATGATGAAAAAAGCATCAAGAATTTTGAGCATGTAAAGCCAAACACTGATAATACGAATCAGGTCTTCGAGTCTGTAGTTTTTCTGTCTTAGTACTTAAAGCATCAATGTGGTGATGATCATGCATAGATTGTTGACATGGGAAATTTGTCTGATCAATAAGAATGGATATGAAGAATTTGCAGTTTTCCACCTCTGTAAGGCATCTTGCGAGATTCCTACAATCTACCAAAGGTCACTGTGCACTCCAAAAGCCACAAGTGCAGGCTGGGAAACAATCATGCATATGGACCGTGGTGCAGCTTGCCTGGCCTGGCCTGGGGACCCCTCACCACTCTGTCTTCGCTAGAGACATCGGGTAGCACTGGAGGACTGTTTCTCAAGGCTGTAAGGATGCAGAGGGCTGGACCTCAATAAATGAGGGCCATCATCTCTGTTTTGCAGCTTGCTCCTGAGGGCGCCTTGAATACTGCAATTTTACAGCTAACGGAACTTGCCATAAGACAGTGACTGATGAAACACACACGGAACCACTGGCGAGTGACCACAATGTGAGGAACAGGGCTGAGTTTTCAAAACAAAAAAGTTTTCACCAAACTGAAGAACGTGAGTTGATAAACCCATCTTTACAAGCCACACAGAGCAAGAGATATTTTCTGTTCCTTCACTTGCTGGGATCCATCGCTGTGAAACCACTTCCGTTCACATCTGCAGATCTCAGAACTAGTCTTGCCATGTACATTGTTTCTTTTGTCACAACTACAGCAGCAAAGGGTGGTATTGAGGCTTCCAAAGTAAATCTGATTTCACTAAGGTATTTAATAGCATAGATAAGTCAACTAAAATTAAATTAAATGTGGTGAAAAGTCATTAGTGGACTGAAAAGGTTTTTTTTCCCTCCTGAGATTTCAACAAAACAACAATTATGCGTAGAGAGATGGGTAGGCGTGTGTGTGTGTGTGTGTGTGTGTGTGTGTGTGTAATGTGTATCACATACACGGGTGACTAAAATTCACATATATATGGCTCAATACTTCCACCTACTGGCTGTATGAACTTCATCACGTTATCCAACAGCATATTTTCTATTTTCTTTCATGTTAGAAAACAACAGCACGCCACAGAAAGTATCACTGTGGGAGTCAAAGGTGAGGGATCTGACTGGTAAGCATCAAAATGCAAATTACCTTGTCTCTACCATAACTGTTTCACTGTATACAGTCACACAACCACCCGTCAGTAAACAGATCATCCATGTTTATTTAACAAGCAGATTCCTTTTCCATTCCACATACCAGCTTTGAGGGCGCTGCTTCTTTCACAGTCAGGCACTGAATTTGGTGGCAGGGACAGTGCTCCAGGTTAAGCCTTGGCTGCCAGCCAGAGCAGGCACCAACACCAGAGCTTCACAGACTGGATCCCGTGGGGCCGCCCTGATACCAACGTGTCAGTTGGTAAACTGATGGATACAGCTCATGTTCTTGGGAACAGCGTGAAGGAAAGAAAAAAGACACAAAACAATTGGTGCTTACACGGATGACCAGGCCCGGATGGCCAGCTCAGGGGTGGCTCTGAGAATAAGAAGGAGGGGTTGGGGAAGCAGCAGGTGTGAAATTAGACAGAGCCACCAGGTCGCAGGTGCGAAGCGCACCCTGCAGGAAGGGGGCAGCTGAGAGCAGCTGCCCAGGAAGGGTGGGATGGGAAGGAAGCCAGTGGAGAGAGGAGGAACCCTAGGACAGGAGGCTTAGGGCCGCGCCAGGGCAGAGCTTGGATTTAGTAATGCTCACTGAGAGATTCAGATTGCCGTGTGTCGTGCTGGTGATGGGAGAGCACTGAGAGGGGGATGGAGCACAGAGCCACACACAGTCTGGTCACCAGTTACACAGCCACAGGGTGAGCCCTGCATCTCCGGTGCTCTGCCTGGGAGAAAGAACAGCCCTGCTGAGGTGTGTGCAGTCCCACAAACGCCCAGTTCCAGAATGCAATTTTCTCTTCCTTTTTTGAGGGGAATAGAACTTGTGAACTAGGTGTTTTATGTTGATTTGCTTAAGAAGGAGCACTCTGAATCACGTGGCTTCCTCCTTTAAGGAGAATTACACC